GTACACATAGTTTGAATGTGGTGCAAAATAGTTCAACAGATTTATTTATGCACGCAACTACCGGGTACCATTTAGGGACGGCGACCATTTAGACCCGGTTTGAAAAGGGCCCCCCCCCCGGTAGCCCAATGCCTGCCCGGTATTCAGCCTACTCCAGGCCGGTATCAGGCCTATCTGCACATCGGCATTTCAAAGTCCCTGATGAAAGGCTTCCCCCACCATGCTTGCACAGATGAATAAGGGTCTAAGCGGATTAGTGTAAACATTGTATAGAGCTGACTCAGCTGAGGGATTACAAACCACAAGCAGGTTCCTTCTGGGATAGATTACATGTACCAGTACTAACTTGCAAACAATAGAACCCAGGATGAAGAAGTTCGAGATCATAACCAGTCCAGCATCCCAGGGCGGTAGCCAGGCCAGTATGAAAGGGGTTTTTGCAACCGGGCGAGCTTACCAGGGGGGGGTCCTTTTCAAACCGGGTCTAAATAGTCGCCGGTCCTTAAAGTGTTTATTTACCACTTGACCTCTCTTGCTGTAGTTATTCTTAATCACTTCACACTTGGCTGTTCGCTAAGACAATTAAAAAAATGCTTTCAGCCCAAAAGTTCCTACCAACATAGAGTACTAGCCCAGGTTGGAGGCTAGTCTTAATTTACATTACGGTCTAAAAGTCCTACATGTACGATGCTAATCCAAGGAGATGCCATAACTGCAGTGGTGTCACACTGGTGAACACATATACAGTTTCCCATTGGTCAAGGAGGCATATAGTGCATGCATTCAACCTGTCCACAGGCATTGTGCCAACCCAGCACTGGCTTCTTAACTCTGGCTGTTGAATTACAGTGTCATGTGTTAATGATCCAAGTTCTTACATGTACCAATTCACCTAGGCACCTGTTTAACAGCTAATGCTGTTATGTTTTTACCAAACACAGTAAGCAGCAATTATTTCTGGTTCTTTGTTCTACAGACCCTCTCCAGTCATTGCAGATGTTGAAAGCGATGGTGTGAATGGTAAGCATTGAATAATGTGGGAAAGAGTTCCATTCATCCTGTTTTCCGTTAGTGTACTTGGATGGAGATTGTAGTCCTATTTTTTTTCGTCTGTTCCTTTAAAGGTTTTTTTCTGTTGGTAGATGACTTTCTCCACAGTTTACGGATATTTGGGTGCAGAGCGTCCATGAACTGCGACATTTTATAACCTTGCAAATCTTTGCATATACATACACGTAACTTTATATTACAGTTCTGTAAGTGATAAGCTGATTCAGCTGATTATTTCCTTAAACTATGAAAGGCTGATTCAGATCAAAATGTCACTTTTGCCATGTTCATATCACCCAAAGTCTTCTTCCATATTCAGAGCTCTTACTGGCCACATCAGAGCCACATCTACAGCTGCTTAAGATCCCCAGTCAGTCACAGTCCTCAGGTGTGCTTCCATATATGCATCTTCAGAAAGATGTTACCTTGGTAACAGGAGATGCAGCACAGAGCAATCGGCAACCCAAAGCGTTGGCGACTGGATACCTTGAAATTTACCAGTCTATGTTGCAGATTCGGATGCAGGTACATAAATGTATATTGAGATGATCCAAGCAATTTAGATTGTATGCAGATCTGACAAATTGGCGTTCATCTTTAAGAAATTGTAGAAAATTCCTCATCTTGGAGATAGGAGTAGATTCATTTGTCATAGTGTTCCTTGGTGTTAGGATATGCCTTTATGGGTAGAGCCAAAAGGATGAAGACACTTGTTTCCTGTAACAACAAAAATAATTGGGATAGGGACAAATACCTCAGGATTGCCAAAAGCAAATAAGATGAAATAAAATGTAAATGAGATCATGTTCCTCATTACATATACAAGTAGGTTTTAAAGAAACAGTGCAATGAAGTTTTCTTTGAAGTTCTTTTTGTGCATGGTTAAACTCTTCTTCAGTGTCTTAAAACTGTTTGAAATCTTTTTGGAGTTTAGTGAACCATAAATTGCACCTTTTTCCATACAAGTGAGGGCATTGTTAACCCTAACCTTCCCCAACTACACAGAATTAAACAGTAGTAAAGTGTTTAATTCTGTGGGGATAGGTCTGGTAGGCCCATACCAGCTGGCTTTTGCATTGGG